AAACGTTAAATGTGGTTACAGCACAGTCGTTCAGTGTTTTACATACATATTTAGCAATATTTAATATGTTATAAAGACTGGTAACATACCATTTAAAAACATTGGTCCTACTTAAGACAGGCTATATGTAATGAAAATATTTTTTTCTAAGTTAGAACTTCTAACTTCATACTTTTTATTTACTCACATCGACTGTTCTAAAAAAAATTTTTTTAGTGCAATAAGAAAAACCTAGTATTTTGAATTTTATTTTGATGTTATTCTAAGATTTTCTATTAAAATAAAGTCAGTAATGACACTTTTTGCGTTCTCTTTTTATCTGAAAAACTATCCGAAAGTATCGAAATACATTTTGGTACCGGTACCAAAATGTTGGTATCGTGACAACACTAATTTAAATGAATCTCTGGGATCTTACCAAGTCATATGGGACCAGGCCTTTCAGAGAACATTTGATGGCCTGAGGAGCAAAGTGTCTCAGCTTCTCTTCTGCTTCAAAATCGAACTTTCTCAAGTGCTCGTTCACAGTCTTCAGCACCGATTCAGTGGTCCCCTTCTCACTAGAAACAGTGTCAAGAGTGGAAGGTGTACAGAAATACAGTAACCTTGTACAGCATGCTACTGAAAGAATTGAAGAAATGCTTCACAAAACATCCAGTTAAACATGTATGTGCAACCTCAGATAAAATAGACATCAACAACAAACCCATTCAAACCACACTGGTGGAAAAATGAGGTTAAAGTGAAGCCATACTGGGAAGCTGATATTTTATTAACACGCTATAATAGTTTAAATCTTCAAAACCCATGTACACCTGTGCAGGGATAACAAAAGAACGGCAAGACTGCCAATACACACATCATTTTGCTTGTATCTTCTTTAGTAGGTCTAAAAACACTACGGTATGAGAATAACAAAAAAGCACCACATTGAAAGGTGTTGCTACTTTCACGGGGACTAGGGCATTAATGTAACAAGGATGCAATGCTGGAAGGCTGACAGAATGAAAGCCCATTTGTTTCTTTTTCTAGAGAAGTTTGTGGTTCAGTGGGTAGAACAGATGTCTCCCAGCCGGAGGGTTGGGGGTTCGAATCTTGGTGCCTGTAGTCCACACATCAAAGTTTCCTTGAGCAAGACACTGAACCCCCAAGTTGGCCCCGACGGTTAAAGCCATCAGTTGAGCTGGCTGTCTCGGTTCTGTACCGGAAACAAATTCCGTGTGTGTGTGCAGATACAATGTGTGTGTGTGTGTGTGTGTGTGTGTGTGTGTGTGTGTGTGTGTGTGTGTGTGACATGCTTGGCCAAATAAAAGGTGATTATGATTATTATTAAGTTGTGGTCAAATCTGATTGGTCAGTATATGGAACACGTCCCTATAACATGGCTTCTGTTCCTGTCGGAGCTGCAAGGCTCCACAGACAACTTGTAGGGAACACTCATGGAAACCTCACATCCATTTGTGTGTGTACCTCTGTATAGTGATGCTCTGGGTGAGTCCATAATCACTGCAGAAGACTCTGACTCTGGCCAGGTGGATGACAGGGCAGGCTTTATCAACCTCCACACAGCCATTGGACACGATTTCAACCACAACTGCCCGGAACCAGTGTCTCTCCTTCGACTTGACAAAGATCATCGAACCTGGACAGGAGCAAGGAAACAAAGGCCAAGCATGTTTCACTCCACTTAGTGGTCTGATGGTCAGTATTATTTGGTAGGAAACAATGATAATTCAAGTGAAAACAAAGAAGTGGAATGTCTGTTAATGTGTCATACAGCAAAAAATACACATTTTGCAATGAATAAAACTATTTTTATAACAAAGCCAGCTTCAATTAGGTAACCCAATATAGAATTCTTAACTGCACAAAGATCAACTGCAAGGTGTAGCACTAAGCTCAATTATGTAAAAACTCTGCACTCAATTAACAATAACATTAAAATTCTCCATATTTCTCCATCATTTTGAGGATGCACCTGTCTTCACGGTGTCTTGGGAAGTGAAGTAATTGTCATCTTTGCTGCATAAGTAGTTCAGTATCTTAGACAGACACTCTCTTTCCTTCTTCTCAGACATGTAGTGGATGTAGAAGTTACTTGGATTCACAATGTGGCTCACCATCACCCAAAAGGTGACTAGGAATCAGGAAATGAGAAAAATGATGAAGAAACAAGAAAACTGGATCACAAAGGAGAGCAGAACGACAGCAGGAAAGATGCACAAGAACCATACCAGGCTTGTTTTATATTCTGACCAAAACTGCATTAGGTTGTACATATGATATTAATATAACTACACATAATTATACAATTGCCTCTCCCTACCAATTCTCTTATTGCCTATGTAGCGATTTTTCCTTCTTTTGCAGAGTCTCCATTTGTCATCAGCCAATTCGGGGCCAGTGGGTGGGGCAACTGCAGAGAGAGACAAAGAATTGACCAAAATTTGTTTATCTTCAGTCTCCAACACAGGGATGAGTTTTGATTGCACTGTCTCAAATCTAAATTCAGCTCTGGATATGCTTATTGAATCCCTTATCGAATCTGTTGGTTTGTTTTAAACCGTTTTGTGCAACAAAAGTCAACTTAATATTTAAGAATATATTTTTTCTAACCAGGTTAGCACAATTGGTGATTTTAATTGTGATTATAAACCAGTTACCAGACATACATGACAGTGACACTAATAGAAACTGCTGAGCACTCGTCCTTCTGCAGTTAACAGCAACAACACCAAATTTTTCTTTAATATCACATTTTGCAGCCCCCCCCAAAACCACTGACTATTGAATGGTTCAGCTGGTCCAAACTTGCAGTATATGTCTGTCTTCTTTTTCCTTGCCAGTGTCTGTATTGTCAGAGAGGCTAAAAAAAGTGAAGTAAACAGAGGACATGAATGACAGATTCAAAAAAGGATTCCTTTTGAATACAAATGAATCCAGGTATTTTACCAACTCAGAAGCATATCCAAAATGGAAGCAGCTATCAGAACTCAACCTCACTCCAACATAAGCGATTTAATAATCTGACTGAATCACAACATGATTTAATTGAGTGAAATAGACACACGACAAAGCCACACACCGTGCTCTTGTTCCTCCTCTATAAACTCCTCAATAATTATGTCAGGATCATCTAAGCCAGGGCTGTGGCAAGGTCCTGGATGTGGATGGGGGCCTTGCAGCAATGACCCATTAGCCACTGCACTCTCCGGGCCCTGTTTTTCTGGGATGCAGAGCTGGTTGCCACTGGGTGGAATACTGTTACTGTCCTCTGCATGTTGCTGTTGAGACCTTATGGTGGAGTTCTCCGATTGGAGCCCTTTGGGTGGAGACTCAGGCAAGCTAAAGGGGGAACAGTGAGAAGATTCTTTCAAAACACAGAACGCCACATAAACAATATACACTGTGTGCTAAATTATTAGGCAAGGTGTATTTTTGAGGATTAATTTTATTATTGAGCAACTACTGTGTAAAGGTAAAAGTGAGGTTTTGGCTTTCTTAGGAGAATGTCTGTGCATAATTATTGGGCAACTGTTATTGTGCAGGAAAAAAAAACATTTTCCCATCTCACTTGTTTATTTTCATATGTTAAGTTGTATGTTAAATAACTATTGTCCTGGTGGGCATGTTTGGGCAGAGATCTCAAAACAGGATTGTAGATGGATGACAAGTTGTGTCTTAGTCCACCACCCCTATTTAGTGAGGGGTGTTCTATTTTTACAAAAATAGCTTCCTTAACTCCTCTCTCAAACCAACGATGTTCTCTGGAGAGGATCTGGACTTCACTGTCCTCAAAAGAATGTCCTTTGTCCTTCAGGTGGAGGTGGACTGCTGACTCTGGTCCACTGGGGTTGGCCCTCCTGTGTTGGGCCAAGGGTTTGTGCAGCGGTTGCTTGTTTTCACCAATGTACAAGTTGTTGTACAATGCTCTGTGCCCATTAGAGATCCAGCCACGGGCCCATCCATCTGCTCACTCTCATCAGCCCATAAAACCTTTGAAAAATCTGTCTTCAGATATTTCTTGGCCCAGTCTTGATGTTTCAACTTGTGTGTCTTGCTCAGTGGTGGTCGGGTTTCAGCCTTCCGTACACCTTGGCCATGTCTCTTGCAGTTCTGGAACATGACAGCACTGTAGGATACTGGGTTCATAGTAGTTTCACGTTTGCTTCTTCTCAAATCTTTTGCAGTTAATTTGCGTCCCTTTTCCTGAACATGTTTCTTGCGACCCTGTTGACCATTTGCAACAAAACATTTGACGGTTCTGTGATTACGCCCCAATATCTTAAAAATTTCAAGAATGCTGCATCCCTTTGAATAACTTTTTACAATTATTGACTTTTCACATTTGGTTAAGTCTCTTTTTTGGCCCATTTTGCCTGAGGAAAAGAAGCTGCCTAATAATTATGGACACCTTGATATATGCACACCCTCCCTCATTACACATCAACTGATATGCTTAAATTCAATAGGCATTCAAGTTTATACAGCTTGGAGTTGGAAAATATACACAAAATGATGATATGGTCAAAATACTCACTTGCCTAATAACTGCACACACAGTGTATTATTATGTGGAATGACATGACCAATAGAGTTTGTTAAGTGGCAAGGTTTCACAAACACTAGGGGCAGCTGATGCTAAATTACAGGATAGGGTACCACTTGCTCATCAACAATGTTTTAGCACAAAAACGTCAATGTAAAATATGCTTAGTACTACTAATAAAAATATGGTACAAAACTAAAACGTTATCCTTACACAAAAGGCTGTATTTAAGTGAAATCTTTACCAACATTGATGATATTCTCAGATTATCTAGAAAAACAATGTATACACACTAACAGATTTTCAAGTGCACTATAACCATCCCAAGCATGTTTTTAAAACTTGTCCAACTGTAAAACGTGTATTTTAGCCATTGCAGCTACTTATTTAATTACTAAAAAAAATTAAATGGAAACAAACATTGTGGCTGCAGATGAACTACTCATTTCAACAAAATAACTTATAGTCGAACACTATCATGTTGTCCGTGATAAACTGTGATATCTGCTGTTACACAAAAAAAAACTCTTCATGACCATGAAAGGTTATTACTATAAATACCTAAAGCTGGCTGTGTAATGATCTTTGTTGGTGCAAATCAATCCAAGTGAAATAAGGAAGACATTTAAAGACTCACTGCTTTGTATCGCTGACTTCCATCTTCAGAGACAATGCCAGACCTTGGGTCAGACTTTCTGACTGTAATACACAACTAGACCACAAGCACATATTCACATTTAAAAATCAAAAGATTAGTCACATCTCTGTCACTAATGCCTCTCAGGCTCCCATGGATCACTGCAGTTACGGCTGAAAATTTTTATTACAGCGTGGTGGTTGTATGCCTCCGTCAACCAGCCAAATTCAGGGAAATGGGACCGATGCGAGAATTCAGTGACTTCAACTTTGACTAGTGAAATCTAATAAGATCATCCTCAAGTTCAAAAGATTGTTTATGCCAAATTTGAAGACTGTTCCTGAGATATCATGTTCACAAAAAAGGGCCAGACAGATGGACAAAAAACCTGAAAACATAATGCTTCCACCTACAAATATCCTGGGCACAGAGGGATAAAAAAAGCAGGATACAGGAAAACTGTATAAAAATATTTCAAATGTCTGTTTCTAATTGGATATTTAAAAATATTTGGTTGATTGCTACAGTAATTGATAAATAAAAAAAGCTGTTTTAACAGTACCATATTGTTTGTCATGTACATATGGTTGAAATAACACAGGTCATAATAGAACATGAGGTCCAAACTAAAATACTGTACAAAAACAGCAGCCTTAAAACTACTCTACCGTCTCTAGTGAGACTCAAAATAAACTGACAATACACCGTTTCTAACCGCCCTTTGCCACTCCCATCACATCTCATTTCCCAGCAGTGAGGCAAACTGTGGATGCCTGGTTGGGACAAACTGTACACAACGCGGCGTCCAGTCCCTTTACTAACAAGTAAATGTTAGTCCAGTAGAACGCTCTGGTTACTGCTGATGTGATACAAAGCACTAATGTTACACAAAGCTCACATTAGTCCCAAATTAAAATCAAATTAATTCAACACAAAGGTTGCTAACGTTACCAAAACAAACAATTTTAGATGCCAACACATCCAGAAGGCCACATGTGAATCAAATGAGTCCTTTGGCTGCTTTTAACCCTCTCCATTTCAAAAAGCCAAACTGATGTTAACCCTGGTTGTTGCTCTTTCTTTGTCCCACTCTCTCTGTATAAATCACACCACCTCTTCACTCTGGCAGCCTCTGTTTTAGCAGACAAAAGCTTCTATATAGCTGGCTGTTTGAAATGACCACTCGTGGTTTGAAAACATTTCTTATAACCTTCACCAGGTCGCAGTCGGGGCTAATTTACAGACCGTACTTTGACAACACAGAGTAGAAGCTAGAATAAGTGTCATGGGGTGTCATATAGCTCAGAAACACTACATCCCTTCACATTTTCACTGGATTTATCAGACAATGTGTAAAATCTTAGCTAATCATCTTTAAAGTTGCATACCTTACTCCAGAGTCTACAGTGATGCATTTCATGTCAAAAGACTGATCATCCACAGGAGCCTGCAATGTCTCCAGAACCTACACACACACACACGTGTTTCCATGACTTCAAGGGGACATAACAGTGGCTTACCAATTTCCTGGACACTTACCCTCACATTAGCTATTACCTACCTATCCTGCTGGCTGAATTCATTTTTAAAAATGGGGAAACTGACAAGCATTTATTTGGTAGTACCTCCCAGTGCACTGGTTACTTAATAGAAAGCATCTGTAAGGATGTACACAGGCATAACATTCCAACCTTATTCAGGGTGCAGTACTGCTCCAGGAGGGGGACATGGCGTACTTCTCTGGCCATCTGCATGGCAGTCTCCAGTGCCGTAATCCTCTCCTGAACATGGCGCACTTCCTCTTGAGTGGTGAAGAAATGTGCCTCCAGTTTTGTCAGCTGACTCAACTGCACATCTCTCCTGCAGAAAAAGAAACAACTGCTATCAAAATAATTATCACTGCGCAGGCTTTCTTCACTAAATCTTAAAACTGGCCTGATACAAGCCTGTGTTTGTTAAGAGAATAAGCATATAAAACAATGTGAAGACAAACAAAACCTGTGTGCACGCCTCGCTTTCATTAAAATAGATGTTTCCAACAAAGAACATGGGACCTTATCGTACAGTAAAGCTGCAACAATTAGTCCATTAATCGATTAGTTGACTGACAGAAAATGTATGGCCAACTATTTGATAATCAATTCATTCTCAATTTTCAAGCAAAAATTCCAAAAATTCAATAGTTGTACATGCTTTTCTTGATCTTGCATTATAGGAAACTGAATATTTTAAGGTTTAGGGCTGTCTGGGACAAAATGAGAAATTTAATGAAGTCACCCTGGCCTCTAGAACAGTCTATTTGACCCAAAGATTAATCAAGAACATAACTGGTAGTCATGCTATTTAAGTACATTTTTGAAAGTTTGCATTCATACCACTCTTGGATAATATGAACAGCCGCGTCTGTAACTTGCTTGATCTCCATGTCCAGCCGAGCTGTGTCTCTCTTCACCTGTTCTGCCAGACCAGTTTTCAGTGTCTGCACAGATCAAACACATACACAAACATTCCAGCAATGCAAACACAATGTCTTCTGACTTGGCATTTCCTTTGATATGTAAAGTTAAATTTTTTTTCCTCTTAGTAAATAACATCTACAACCATGTCCTATAAGATGTGCACAGTATTATAGACATAGTACAGCTTTCACCTCACGGATGTGTTCCAGCTGGGCAAGATTTTCTGCAGCCCGGACCAACACCTCAGCCACCTCATTCTCGATATTGGCTGGCTGTATAAAACAGAACCATAATTTTACCAATTTTGATCTGAACTGTTTAAGTTCACTGTAGCCCATTAACCACCACACTCAACTTAAACTCTTAATTTGAAAGTAGAGGGCAGACTACAAATTTACATCACAACTGAGCTGTAGTCATGTTGTCCCCAGCCACATCCTCTAACTCCTTTAGCAGGGTTCCCCCTACCACAATAAGGCATAAGCAAAGCACCTAAATGTTTCTGCAGAGCGCCTAAGTCAAAAGAATGTTAAAAAAAAGCAACCTATTGGAATAAATGTAAAAACAATGGTGAGTTATATGCTGAAAAATATTGAAAAGGTGACTTGATCTCAAAATGGAATAGCTGCAACAGTAGGGGTGGTCCAATCAGGATTTTTGGGGCCAATCACCGATCTCCGATCACTAGAAGCTGTATCGTCCGATACCAATCACAGGGTCTACTTGAAGCCTTATCATGTATCATTATTTATTAAACTATATTTAACAACAATGTAAATTAAGTACTGAAATTACAAGAAGAGGAATATCATGAATTGGCAACTGCACTTATTGGCAAGAAACATGTGCAACACTAAAGCTTAAAACATAGCAGCCTGTGCTTGCCTTGGTTAGCAACTGGGGACAGCTTGGAGCTTGACAAATACAACTTTCCTGTTGATTATATAAAAATAAATAAAATAACAGAACAAAGAGTCGTTGACTTTAGCTTTAGAGAACTTTAACTTTAGACTAAAAACTGCAACAAAAAAGGCTACAGTCAAAATTGTGGTTGAAGTCAGTTTTTCAAGTCAGCCCTCATTTTTTATAATTTACTTTAAGGACCACAGGTAAAAATAAATTACACGACAAAAATAAATAAAAAATACAAATAACAAAAAACTTGCATCTCCATATCTGTATCTGTTTCTATCAACTACAACTTTAACTCAATTCTCAGGGCAGGACTAACAAGCCATTGCAAGTTCACATCTCTTGGGATGTCAAGAAGAAAGGCAGTTAACTAACAGAACCACAGCTGCACTATCATGATGGCTTCTGCCTCATGAATCAATAATAAATTCTGAAGTAGTTACTTTTTTCTCAGAAGCTCAGTCAGATTTTGTGGGCATGTAGAGAGGTAGAGAGAGCAACAGTGATGTAGAGAATGTAGATTAGTAGCTGGCTTCTTGCATCAAGGGCAGATTTTTCTTTATAAATATAAGCATCTCCGCATTTTTGGCTGACAGCTTGTTGCGCTTCTCATCCACGATATTTCCTGCTGTGCTAAAAAGTCGCTCACTATCAACACTTGTGCATGGGGCAGAGAGGTAGGTTTGTGCTGCTTGTGCGAGAGCAGGAAAGCGCCTTTTATTGTTCTGCCAAAAAACCCTAACAATTCGTCTTCCACAATAGACAGCGGCTGATGATCTGAATTCCATTATTTTGTCTGATATTTCTTTATGCTTCTTACCGTCCTTGCAGTAGGGTTGCTGTCGTCTCTTTTACTGCTGAGTGACTGTTGCGCGAGTCGCTGAACTCTCCCGCTCTCTTAGAGCTTAAAGGCCTTTTCACACCGAACGCGACGCGAATAAGCGATATTTTCTTAAAACGTCGCGCTACATAGATGGACTCCACATCAAGCGACGACGATGTACTGCTTGTCCTGCTACATAAAAAAAAGACAACAAAGAAGGTTTTAGGTCAGACCTGGGCATTTTACGGCCCGCGGGCCACATCCGGCCCTCTGGGCGTCCCTGTCTGGCCCGCGTGAGGTCCATCAAATCAGAACATGAATGAAAAAGTTCACGGGTGAACTTAAGCTCCCCGATCTACCAGGTGAGAGACAGGTGATGTTGGCCAGCTAACCCTCAAAATGTCAACTCACGCCAAAAAAAGAAAGGTTGATGCCCAATGCCACGTTTTCAACAAGACATGGACTGGAAAGTATTTGTTTACAGAAGTCAAAGGTAAAGCAGTGTGCTTAGTTTGTGGTACACAGTTTGCTGTGTTCAAGGATTACAATTTGAATCGCCACTACGTGACCAATCATGAGGAGAAATACAAGAACTGGTCGGATGAAGAGCGCGCAAGAGAGTGGGATGCTTTGCTAGTGAAAGTGCAACCAACAAAGACTTTTGTACAAAACTTTCCACACCCAGAGATGCAGCTTTCAAGACAAGTTATGTCATATCCCACAAAATCACCAGAAAAAATAAGCCGTTTTCTGGCAGAGAGTTTATTAAAGAGTGTTTGTTGGAGTGTCATTTTCGCTTTAGGACCTATTTCAGGATGTCTGTGGGACAGTTTGGAGAGTTGTTGGTGCAGTTGACCCCCCCACGCGATGAAACAAGTTACAGGGATCCGATCGACCCAGAACAGCGCCTGGCCTTGTGTCTGAGGTAAAAAAAAAAAAAAAAAAAAAAAAAAAAAAAAAAAGTTTATTTGTAATGAAATCAGTTTAGTTCACAAGCAAGTGAAGATCCTCTGCTATCCGTCTCCATACGTTATCTTTGTATTCATTATCTTTGTAGTTTTTGTCCTTTTTATCATAGATAACTGAATTCGCTGAAACAAATTGGATTAAGCGGTCCGCCATGTTGAATTTGACGTGTCAAGCTGCATTGTGATTGGTCAGAAGTGCTGCCGTCGCCGCGACGAGTTGGAAAAATCGACCCGGAGGCGAAAAAGATTAATGTCGCTTTTCGCGTCGCGAAATTACGTCGGCGGTGTGCAATGTATCATTGACAAGTTATTGGTTCGAAAAATATTATTGACGCGCGAATAAATCGCGCGTTAAATTCGCGTCTGATGTGAAAGGGCCTTAACTGTGAAAACTGCTCATGTTCCTTTACGTGACTAACCTTTAAATGTCTGATGAGGTTCGTGGTGTTAAAATGGTGTAGGTGCTTCCCGCCTCGTGTAATTTGCTTGTTACAAAGGTTGCAGATTGCTGATGTGGGGTCTTTTTCACACACCACGTAGAATTGCCAAACTGGAGAAGCCATTTTAGCAGCATGCAAAAAAACTTGTCTCGCGAGTTTTGCGTCATCTGATCGGCTTTTCTATATCGGCCATTATAGAGACAGCCGATCAAACTTCCCAAAGCAATTATCAGCAGATTATGATCGGCGACCGATCAATCGGAGCACCCCTATGCAGCAGCATAGGCCCAACTTGTGACTCTCATATACTCTGTGTGTGTGTGTGTAATGTTAACTCAGGGACTTAACTAGATAACAGGATAAAATGAAACCCGTTGTCAGGCTTGTGACCTTAGTGCAGCGGGTGGAGAAACAAACAAACACTGCTGTTAGCTGAAGATCGTTCACAAGAGGTATCACCACTGAATGATCAGAGTGAACCGAGTGTTTCTGTAGTTCCAACAACTCCAACACAGTGAGACATCTTCACTGGTAAAACCATCAGCTGATCTAACATCAGCGATGGAAATGTAGCATAATCTGCAGAATGGGGTACACGCAAATGACTTTATATTACATAAGAACAAATCATGCACTTTCATTAGCATTTTGTTTGTTTGCTGCCAAATGTGCAAAGGGGCACTTTTAGCTGCCTCCACAAAGAATGCATGAAGTTGGCTATAACTTTGTTGGCGAGTCATTCTTGTGAATACTAATAGCAGAGATAGTAGAGTAAAAAGGTAAAGAGACTGCTAACATAGCTACTGCGTCAGAAATTCCTTCACCTAAGCTGTTTGAAAACCCTGTTTAGGGTACAACAAGTGAAAGACACACCCATGTGGACCAAGATGACTAAATCTCTCAGGGTGTACTAGGTCTGCCCCAGAGGTGGATTCCCAGCTTCTAAAAGGAAGTCACTCAAGAATCATTCCTATCTACAATACTCGGCAGCTTTAAATATTTCATTAGACTTCACTACATTTGCCACATTTTTGGCAGCAATGAAATCAAGTGAAAATTGATCTGCTACACATAGATAAACTTGGTAAACTAAAACCAACAACAGTCTGGCAGAATTGACCGATTCAGTGTACATAGCCACCTGTCCGTCTCCCTCTCACTGGAGTGTTCACTACATCTTAGTCCCAATATGCAGGGACCAATTTACCCTTTCCTCTCAAAATATCAAGTGTATCCCAGTACCGTGACATTCTACATTAAAAATCCATGTTAGACAGAACAGGGATACCGGCACAAAGAATTCTGTATTTTTGCTGATTCTAATTTAGGCATCTGAAACATTACCATCTTGTTGTGTACAACAACTTTCATCACCCCTGTGATCACCCAAACATACCTGTTGAATATCCTCTGTATTGGTATTATCATCTGTGGAAAATGAGAATTTGTTCCTTCTGCTATTCTTTGGTCTGTCACTCCGGACGCTTTAGGTGATGACAAAACCACAGAAATGATCAAAGATCAATTTTAAAAATCTATTACACAACGTGATTACACAATTAAGAGCCAAAAAACTGGTAAACTACATGTTTGTCAGTTGTGTGGTTCTGCTTAAGATTCAGAGCGGCTTTTTACCTTTTCATTTTGTTCATTTTAACGGTGTAGATGAGGCCAATGATTCTGCTATCTTGCTGCAGACCACAAACCCCACCTTCAGGAAGGGTTGACTCAACCTGCAGAGAGGAGCTTTGTTTTTTTTATTGCTATCTTACTACTTTTTGAAAACTACTTTATGAAAATCACAATTTCCATAGCCAGTTTTATTTCCAGACAAAAGTAAACAAATGGCTAGGTAGTTGCCAAACAAGGTGGCCAGTAAGGGCCAAGTTTGCATGTTATACATAGTCTGCTTCTCAAGTTGAACACAATTATTTGCTGTATCTACATTGCCATTTTTTTCCTATGTGAACATTTAGGAATAATTTAAGGATCACCAATCAAACAATTTATAATTAATATCATCCATTTGCAACAGTATGATTATTATTAATAGAAGTCATGATGTAGTTTTGTGTGACTAATCCAAAATTATGACAGAATCATGCTGAATAAATATACTGGAAAATGCCACACTCTAGCAAAGACACCATCATCAGTAATTGTACCTCACACTCTGGGCATTTAATGACACCTTCATGCTCAATGGACTCCAGGCAAGATGTGCAGTAGATGTGGCCACATAAAAGTACACGTGGGGGGTTGCCTTCAGTTTCTTCCTCTGAAAAAGAAGCACAATAGAGACAAACAGACAATGCACTGTCACTGTAAGTGATCAATTTTAATTTCTGATACTGTAATAAAAAAATGTCACTGTATCTCCCTACTTACTTCCTCTTACACATTCAGAAGTTTTGCAGTTACTGTAAAATGAACTCTGATTCTGTCAAAGGTGTCACAAATTTCACTAAAATTTTAAAGTTTAAAACGGTTTACTCATTTTAACATGATCTATTTGCTAATAATTCAATTTAAAGCTCCTGTTAGCAATATGTTGATGTGTTAATTTCCTTTAAAGCATCACAGGTTATGTAATTTGTAAATGAACTTCTCCTCAATAGAGTTGAATGTCTTTAATTAATTATACCAGAATGTTGGTCTGATAAAACACACAAGACATAACATTATGCATAAAACGTATGTTGTTCAGATGTAAAATGCGCGTTAAAATCGCGTGCTCTGCTGGACATAGAATCTCAGGACGGAATCTAAGCGACGGACGACTGCTTTGGTCCATCCTCATGCTACCAAGGCTGCACCTGAATTGAAACTCTTATGGAAGTAAACAAATGCATGCATCAATTAGTAAACAAAAAGGCGATAAGGACAGACTGTTCAGAGATATAAAAATACTCTGTCCCTGTTACAATCAACTGCAACTTGTATAACCATTTCTGCACTGGCTTTGGCGAGTCTTGTCGGTTTTGTCTGAAGACGTCAAAGAAATAAACATTTATGTTCTATTTGTCACGTTGTAATATTAGCACTAGCCTTATTGATTGATTGATTGATTGATTTTATTCTTTCAAACATGCAGAACAGAACAAATTAACAAAAGGCAACAACACACATAATTACACATATCCAACCAATGCTAATCCAAAATCCGTTTGCTTACACATATTACAAGTTTGAATGGAGTAGGAAGAAGTCAGACTTATCCAGTCCTACCCCATGACATCATATTATACAAAAATTAATGCATCATTGGCTGCAAGCAGTATCTCTACATAAATAAAAAGAGTATTTCCTTAATACCTTCTCGAATAATCTTATTCTTGCATATATCTTGTATAACACATACATTTTTTGTAATATGTACAATGGTTGAAGTGAACTCCTGTATGTATTTCCCCAGTTTTCAACGCCATACTCCAAATATGGCAAAATCAATGAAGAATACAAAATACGCAATGCTTTAACGTCCAGCATATATCTAACCCTTGCCAATATCGATATATTTTTAGCTATTTTATGCTGAACATAACTGATATGAGATTTCCAGGATAATCTGTCGTCAACCATGACACCCAAAAATTTGATTTCATACACTCGTTCGATATTAGCACCCCCAATTCTCAATTGAAGTTCATTATGTGGTCTACGGTTCCCAAATACCATATATTTAGTTTTCTCCAAGTTCAAAGATAGTAAATTACTATCACACCATTTCTTTATCTTCACAAATTCCTCTGAAACCCTTAGCGAGAGTTGCCGTAAGTTATTATGTTAGATAATATGTTCTCCAAATTCAACCACTCGCCAACACGTGATAGCTTAGCTAATGTTTGCTGCTGCATTTGCATTGCTAATGTTAACTAACACGGTAACTAACTGTGACAATAACTTTATTTGCCATAAAATACGGTGTCGCGGGCCATTAAACTGTAAGAAAAAAGATGTAAATATCCCACCAGGCAAGCTGAAGACCTCTCCACAAAACTTGCAAATAGCAGCGTTTGGGTAGTTGTCTCTATCCATCATTAGCTTGAACTCTTTTCAAAATGGAGTTTCTTTTCGTGTCAATTAACGGGCACGAGCAGGCGGCTATACTTACCACGTGATCACTTAGGTGCGCTCTGGTTCCGTGCTCGCTCACGATTCTTTTCTTTTGGTTAAGCAGCGTCACTAGCAGCAATATTATTTTTATTGACAAAGTGTTTATAATTCAGCTTTAATCGGTAGTGGAAGACGTAGTCTCATTACTAAAGTAAAAATAGTAATACCACTGTGTAGAAATACTCGTTACAAGTAAAAGCCCTGCATTCATAATTAAATAATAATAGTACAAATGTATCAATATCAAAATATAATGCATATAAAATAAATACTTATGCACCTTTACTCAAGTAATTGAATGCAGGACTTTTACTTGAAGGACATTTTTTTTACACAGTGGTATTACTGCTATTTACATAATTAAGCCTACCTGAGTAATTCTTTCACTACTCCCCACCGAGCACTTCTGCTGCCAAAGATTTCTATAAAAATAGGTCTGTTTAAAAAAGGTATAAAGTATGATTCTGAAGGGAGAAAAGTGATCTAGACTGGGTGTACTTTAATTTAAGATTCTTAATATGTTTTTTTATGTGGTCGCTTGGGGGCGCCAAAGACTAAGACAATTTATGAGATGACGGGTTTACAAAGGCCAGGTGGAAATACTGTATAAACCCTCAAACTGTTCAAATGTACAGCTCTTCTATTTTATGTTGTTGTGTGATAGATGCTATGTGATAAAATTTTAAAATGGCAAATATGCATCCCTTGCATCACAATCCAATTTACTGAATACCTCCACTTGCTGGAAATATGCTGTTTGATGACCCTTTGTTGTCGAGTATCTGGATTAAGAATCACAGGTGATGCTGTATGGACATTTGTAAGATAACTATGTATTCAAGGAAATTTTATATTTAATAGTAGTGTTTAATGTGCCTTGTGTGTTTTTACTTTCTGTATGTTCTGTATTGTTTTACTGCTTCATAATCCTTTATCCATCCTGTACATTCCTCCTGGATGTTGTGCTTTGTGGTATGTTCTTTTGTTTCCTTTTGAGCCAACTGCCAAAGCTCCACAGTCGACCTAATGGCACCATGTTGGTCCTCCTCTCCATCTGAGCACAGCTGGCAGCAGCAATGCTGCCTGGGGACAGTGGCCAGCCAGCCAGCTGACGAAGCAGCAGTAACCAGGAGTGACAGCCAGTTGAGAGTAGGGAGGCACAGACATCAGGTGGCAAAGGTAAATCAACTAGTATGCAGCAAGGACAAAACCTAACACGCATTTTATCTGAAGTGAAAGTAGACCTCCTTGCTGTGAGGTGTCAAAACACCTGCAGGTATAAAGTACACCTGTCTGCTAAAAACATTCAATATCAGTTAAGGTACTGGTCCAAGAACATTTAACACTTTAAATGTATCTAGAAAACATTACCTGACATCAGTATAGGGGAGGCAACATTGCGATGGGTAGAGCAGTCATTTCCCAACCTGACGGTTGAAGGTTCAAATCTCGGTGCCTGCAGTCCATGTGTCGAAGTGTCCTTGAGCAAGACACTGAACCCCCAAGTTGCCCCCGATGGTTAGAACCATCGGTTGAGTTGGCGCTGCAGATGGCTGCCTCAGGTCTGTACCGGAAACAAATTCCTTGTGTGTAACATACTTGGCCAAATAAAGGTTCTTATCCTTATATACAATGGCTAATGTTAGTAATAATTATATACTGTAGATGGAGTGTAAAAGCACCACAGATGAGCATAGAGTACAATCTTTTCTTATGCTGGTACATAAAATCCAAATTGTCTTAATCTGAAAATAAAATGATTGATTAATTTCTCCTGTATGTCAGTAAACAAAAACCTTTGGAGTTAAAACCCTGCTGAATTCAATTCACATTCCAAACTTCATCTTCATTAATTTGTTAATTTGTTTAATTTGGTTGTTTGAGAGGCTGGATGGATAAGCCAGAAAGACAAAAAATAAGAGTCATATATGCCATATGTCTATGGTAGGCTAGTGGTTAAGGCGCAGCGCTCTCACCGCTGCGGACCGGATTCGAATCAGGGTTGCGTCAGGAAGGGCATCCGGCGTGAAACATGTGCCAAATGTCAACATGTGAGTCATCAGTGTGACGATTTGCTGTGGTGAACCCTAAATGGGAAAAGCTGAAAGTGACTTTCTTATGCCCATATAATGGTGTTTGTTACATATTGTATTTGATGATTGATATACATCAATTTAGAATTTCCCTTATCAAGCCAGACCAAAGAAACATGAAGTCACTTCTTCAAATTTGATTAGGGCACTGAAGCAATCTGGACATTGGTCTTTGCAGGGCAGGATGGTCATAGACAGAGTGGAAAGGGGGCAGAATGTGTTTGTACCGGGGTGATGTGAGTCGCAAACTTCTTTACTATGGGTAATGAACCAATCAGCAGGCCGCCCAGAGAGGATATGGGGTGACTGTTAGGGAAATGGGGGCTGCCCCCCATCTTTCCTCTTCCCAAATGTGGGTCGCTTCCCATCCTCGGGTGATTTCCCTCATGTTTTCTTAGGAACATTAACCCCCAAAACCCTTATTAAGTCATTCATTAGTGATGCTCTTAATTAAGCTGTGCTGTCTTGTTGGCTCCCTCCTGATGTCTCACATAGGCCTTGCACAACCATCCATCCACTTCATTGTTATTATCCAGCCATTTCTCAAACTACTTTTTGTGGGTGATGTCATGAGACAGGAGATGATGTCTTATAAAACAACAACCCCCTCCTGTGCCTTTGTTTCCTCCCTATAGCTTATAGAGTAGGAGTGTTGAGTTTTTTCTATTTACAGCATACCCTCTGGAAGTCAAATGTGTTCTAGCATTTTAAAAAGTGCTCCTTAACTGCTGTTTCCGAAACTCTCTAACATAGATTTCTTCCAAGGAAGCATAGATGTTTCCACTGAGGAATCTTTGAGTCTTTGACCCAGTAGATATACAAGTGTGTTGTTGTAATAGCCTCTTCCGTTCTGATTGTCTGAAGAAAAAAATGACAAGGAAAGTTCAGTAGACACACAAGGCCCAGGAGACTCTTCGATTGGCTTTAAGTGGGGATATTGTCTATGAACCCTTTGTGCCCTCATCCCAATCTCTCCCACCTGCTGACTTCCCTCTTTTCTCATATCCACCCATAATCTATGCTTGATCACTCTCATGCTTCCTTGCATCCTCAACCCTTCATCCCCTGGGTTCAGAATCAGAATCAGAATCAGAATCTGCTTTATTGGCCAGGTGTGTCAGACACATGAGGAATTTGACTCTGGTACATTGGCTCTCAATGTGTATGTACATATCCCCATGCAAGGGGCAAGTAGACAGTAAACCAGCATAAGGCTGTGTAATATAACAAAATAAGCAGTATTAACAAGCAACAAACAGTGCAAACAATACAAAATAAACAGTATAAATAGGCAGTAAATGTCAGGTTTGCCCAGCTGCACCTGTTTCTTTCACCTTGATTGTCAGCCTCCATTCACTCCAATCAACTACTATCATCATCAGCTGCGTTCACTTAGTTTCCCGCCATATTTTTATCCAGCTCGCACTCCTCTACCTTGCCAGTTCATTCTCTGTTCTCGGACCTACTGTCACTCTAAACTATTATCGGATCTTTGTTCTTCTTAGTACGTCTAGTACGTTTTATTAGTTTTGTTGTTTCTGCGCCTTCCTCTGGGCTGATTCCCTGCCATCCCGTAATATCTCGCCTGTCTCTCTAGTTTGTGTGTTTTATTTTTTGTGTTTTCCTCCTGGACTGTTTCCCTGACAGCTCTAGGTCCCTCGCTACGCCCAGCCAACTCCTTCTCACCACTGCAGCCACGGACAGCTATCTCCGGACCATACTACACCTAGCCCTTACAGCTTCCACCAGCCAGGTCAGTACACAGTCCAACTACTCACTCCGCTCACGGCCATCATCTCCTCTGTCTCCTCAGTCATTCCACCACCATCGGCCAGACACCTCATTTAGTACAGACCACTTAAATTTATCAATAAACACTGCCTCATTTTCTTAATTTTTTTTCATCTCATCGCAAGTGTGACTATTGTCTAGATGAGACAAAAATTCACTCTGGACCTTTCACCTCAGTGTTTCTAATCTCGCATAGTTCAGTCGAGGTTGTGCGCACAAAGTTTTTCTGAAAACTACAGAGAACAGACCCGTAATGGCCATTTGTCAAGCTGCCGAATGTAGGTCCCACTTTCACTATTCACTGGCAGAATCCACTGATGTATAGTGATGTTACAGGGACAATGGTGTATTGTTGCTCTTGCAAAATAAAAGCATGAGAAAGATTTGAAATTTTACAATCCATTAGTCTATAAAGCATCTTTACTTTTGACCTCACAAATATTGAACTAAAATATAAGTGGATTTTGACTAGGACCAGCTGCTCAACCTCCTATCTGTAGGCTGACTCATCGTCTCGGATGAGACCAATGATCGTTGTATCATCAGCAAACTTTAGGAGCTTAACACAGGGGTCCTTTGAGATGCAGTTGTTGGTGAAGAATGAAAACAGCAGAGGGGAGAGCACACATCCCTGGGGGGCACCTGTACTTATTGTCTGGGTGCTGGATGTGGTTTTCACCACAGGAATCGTTGGCTGAAACCTGAGCTTTCAGCTTTTCAGAGTAGCTCCTCTTTGCTGCTCTGATCTCCCTTGTCAGTGTGTTCCTGGCCTGGCTGTACAGAGTCCTGTTCCCACTTCTGTAAGCCATTTGGCATCGACGAAGCTGCTTGAGTCTTGCTGTAAACCAGGGCTTGTTGTTGTTGTCGAAGCCTCGCTGCCCGGCTGTACCACGTGACTGATTCAGGAAGTGGTTCGGATTTTGCCGCGAGTTTTGACAGCGATATAAACCCCTCAGGCTCCATTCAAAATGTGGGTGTTTGATGGAGAAAAAAGAAATCGCCTAAGACCTGCCACAGTGGAGAAACTGTTGTTTTTAAATAAAAACCAATGATGTGTCCCCTAAACCATAATCACTGGCCATACCTCAACGTTACA